GCCGCACAAAATATTACTCGGAAAAATATAGATTTCTTCAAATATTAAATAGATATCAATACACATACAAATATAAAGCCGAATAAAATGCTACCATTGGCATTGAATCAATGTACACTAATACTTGTACTATGTGCGACTGAAAGAACAATGTTCTGAATATTTGAAGCTATTACTAAAATACGGTCAGATAGATTGGGATTTGGAATACCGAATACGTCTAAAATTTTAGTAACTCTGGTCTAAATAAATGATAAATGAGCATGTATTTATTAATTTCTTCGAAATCACGAGTGTGCCAATAGTGGAAGCAAAGTGGTGGAAGCCGTATCGACGACGAAATTGACGGCAGTTTATACAGTAAATAGTACAGCGTTTAATGTACGATATATATTTATATCTAACTGACATGCCAGCGAGGATCAACAATATAATTATTCGTACATATTTGGGTATCTTTTGTATACCTTCGCTTGCTGACTTGCTCACTAATGAGAATAATCCGTCAGTGAAGCCACGACGACCTCAAAATGTACTATACTTTTTGTCTGATGTCAATCCGAAGTTCAGAATACTGTTATAGTTTCGTATATTGGATTTAAGCGATAGATTCAAGTCATTTATGATAGACTTTTTGCTGTGATGCTTTGCTATTGCTTTTGGTTTCCATTTCTAGTTTTATTTGTTCGATAGTCTTATAATATATAATATTAAAATTAATAAAGTTCAAATTCTTCAAAATGCTGTTGTTGACATTTGCTATTTTTAGTAATTTTGTCAACGAGTGTAAGCCAATCAGAAGCCTGCGTTTCTATACGAACGCCACTACCAAGAAAACCTATCATCCGTGCAGGCCCTCTATTCTTCGCGCCGCCCGCAACCCAGGGCCTGTTCGCAGGCTAGACTACCAGACGTTGCTTCGTTTCGCTCTAATCCAAAATTGACGAATATTTCCCTATCGAAAGCGAAAAGTCAATGTTATTATCGTTTTCTTTATTTGTCTTTGCCAGAAATAGTAAATGGTTGTAAGGCGAAACAAACGACAGCTGTAAAATATTGTAAAAGCGAGCAAATAGAGGCGACAATGGTAAAACGTACACGCCAAAACCGATTTTGTACCGAAGCGTACCGGATTGGCCTGCTTACACTGCTTCGGCACATACCGGATTACTTTTCATATCACCTGCAAAGCGGAGTGATTTTTACGCTGCCTCGCGTATCGGATTACTGTGGCGTAGTGTAAACAGCAGCCGAACCCGGTATGAAAATCGCGACGCTCCGATGCAATCCGGTATAGTGTAATCGGGGCTTAAATATGATGTAATCAGACTGGCCAAAATTTTTAACGTAATGAAGCAACATGTTTTTCCAACATATTCATATCAGGTTAACTTTCACTGCTTGTTTCGAATATTTATTAAAGTTACATTTTGCGATGAAATACATGAATCACCAAATATAATTTCCTTGCCGGTAAAAAAGGTAAAAATCGCCTGGGGTAGGGAAATAAATTAATAAAGCAGAACACGAATATATGAATATGTGCCCCCCCCCC